AAGAGCAGGGTTAGAGGCACCCGGTGAGCAGAGCAGAAGGTGGGAACAGGCCCAGAGGGAGGTCCCTGGACAGCCTCAGTGGGCCGCGGCTAGCTGGGAGAGGGGAGGAGGCCGGGAGGCAGGCGTGCCAGGGGCTCAGTTCTCTTCCGCGCTGAGGAGGCCTGTGCAATTTTGAGATCCCACACTCTAGCCCTGCATGGAAGCCACAGCCCCCAGCATCAGTTAAGAAACTGTGAAGAGGGCTTTGCTGTTTGCTAGGGAGGTCAGGGAACTTCATAAAAGAGGGGAGAGTGGAGAGGAGGAGAGTAGAAGAGGACTGGGCGGACCACCGGCGCACACACGCGTGCCCACACCAACCTCCCACAAACCCTGAATCAGAGGGCTTAACCTCCCAGTTTCCATGGAGGCTGGGGAAAGCAAGCCTCAAAACAGTATATAGAATGCACATTATAGAACATAGTAAATGTAATAATAATAATATAAAGTAAATAATAATTTAATAGGTAAATTTGCCAAGGGAAAAATTAGAATGTTCACAAAATATTAACAATCGTTTTCTGGTGGATGGTGGGATAAGAGATGATTTTTTATTTTCTTTCTTTTTGGGGGGGGGGAGTGGGCATTTGCTCATCTCCACAACAGCAGCATCTAACTTTCTTGAGCACTGATGGTAAACTAAGTACCTCTGTAGTTAATAATCATAACCACCACAGAGGTCAGGGATATCCTTATTTTCATTTGGTATGGAGGTGACTCATACTCAGAGAAGTTAAGAACTTTTCCAAGGTCACCTAGCTTGTAAGTATCCGAGGCAGAAGGTATGCCTGACTCCAAAGCTAATGCTCTTAGCCTCCATGCTAGGAGAGAAGCCTTGAACTAGCAGATAGGAGCCTATTTCCCCACAGGGACAGCCTCCAGGCTATCCTCCCTGCCTCCAGCCTCTCCCTCCCCACTGAAGAACTTCCTAAGTGATAAAGTTGGCCATGCTTCTGTTCTCCTTAGAGGCCTTCAGTGGTCCCATTCCTATAGGTTCTTGCTGACTTACATGGCTTACAAACCCTCATTCTGTCTTCATCTTATAAGAACCCTAACATCAGGTTTAACCTCAGGCTGGACCTGTGCCTGCCCTTGGGAATCAATGTGAACAGGCAGGCCCTCAAGAGACGTCCTCTGTATTTGTGTCTCCTCATATTTTTTCCATTGGAGACTTCTTTATTATTTATATTGCCCCAAGAAATAATAAACATTCATTTCACTCAGTAATTCCAAAAGCCCAATGAGATGATTAGTTAGAACTAAAATATTATTACCTGGAAAATGATGCCCTCATTCCTTGACTCCACTTTTTGACATGGGAAATGTTTAAAACAGCTTGACATTACTATTGATTCAAGTAATATTAGTATTCATTGAAATGATTTTACCACAGTATAAAGTTGGTACATAATTACTATTGTCCTACAGCTTGAAATTGAGTTATTTAAGAAAGATTATCAAGTCTATAGCAAAAGCTAATATCTGAAGTCATGATAAATACATGATAAATTCATTTTCCATAAAATACATGCTGATGTATAATAATAATAATATTGCTATTAAGCTATTAATATAGGCTTTAAATAATTTATATTTTCACAAGCTTTTGTAAAATTTTCCAACCAATTCTTCTTTCTACTCACAAATATTTTCACCATCATCAATTACAATAATACATCTTAGCAGATTCTGCTTCAGGTTGCATTGACTTCATTTTCTCTCAAGTTTCTTTTTTTAAAAAAATTTGTTCTTATTACTTATACATAATAGTAGGATGTATTTTGACATATTATACATATATTAGGATTATAACTTCCTATTCTCCTGGTTGTACATGATGTGGAATTACAGTATGTATTCATATATGCACATAGGAAAGTAATGTTGGATTCATTCTATTATCTTTCCTATTCTAATTCCCCTCTCCTTTCCATTCATTTCCCTGTATCTAACCCAAATTACTTCTAATCTTCCCTATCCCACCCCCCTTGTTGTGATTTAGCATCCACATATCAGAAAACATTTGGCTTTTGGTTCTTTGGGTTTGGCTTATTTTGCTTAGCATGATAGTTTCCAGTTCCATCTATTTACCAGCAAATGGAATAATTTCATTTGTCTTCTATGGATGAGTAGTATAAGATTGTGTAAATGTACCAAATTTTCTTTATGCCCTGTTGAAGGGCACCTAGGCTGATTCCATCATTTAGCTAAGGAGGCTGCATTCTTAGTATAATTTTAAAATATTTAAAGAAGACAGTGAAAGGGTGCTGGAAGAAGCCCTCCTTAAAGATCCTGAAAGTTTGGTACTTGTCCCCAATGCCAATCCAATAACAAAGACACAGATTGTTTGTTTTCTTTTGTTTGTACCAGGGGCACTTATCAATTGAGCCAAATCCTCAACCCTTTTTTGTATTTTATTTAGAGACTGGGTCTTGTTTAGTTGCTGAAGCTGGCTTTAAACTAGAAATCCTGACTCAGCCTCCTAAGCCTCTGGGATTACAGGCATGAGTCACCACACCTAGTTAGGAAAAAAATAAGTTTTATAGCTTTTCTAGCAAAGGAGAAGAACAGGGGACTCCTGTCCCAGAGGCTGTGATTCTCCCATTAAGGGAAAGGTGATTCAAAGGCTGCATTCCACGCATTCTGTCTGCAGTTGTAATTTACTTGTTAATTTAGGAGACAGTCACTTCTGAGATCTTCTGGTTCCATCCCCCAAATCTGAATTACTTCATTCCTGTGGTGGGTTTGTGCTCAAGGACAGATAACTCTGTCTAGGATGGGGAAAGAAAGATCACCTATTTCCCCTGAGGTTAAGGATTGGAGAGGTTAGGGAGGAGGAGGGAGATAGCAAGAGAAAGAAATATGCCCATTTTTAAGTCACAGTGGCAGAGCATCAAGGGCTATTTTCAAAGCAAAAGTGGGCCACTGTCACACCAGGACCCAGAGAGGTGGACAAGGACACACACAGTCTCTTTTTCCTGAGGAAATAGAGCAGGTAGCCTTGCATTGATGACCCAGCCCACGTGAGGGGCCAGGCACCATTCAGAGTCATCTCCAGGGTCACTGGGCATGATCATGTAGGTGTCAAAACTCCACAAGTTTAGCATGTTTAGCATGTCTGCTCAGCTTGCCATCACCAAATACAACAGACAGGTTGGCTTAAGCAACAGAAATTGGTTTTCTCAGTGCTCTGGAGGCTGAAGTTCAAGATCAAGGTGCCAGCCTAGTTGGATTCTGGTGGGGGATGCTCCTGGGTTTGTAGATAGGCAACTTCTCCTTTGAGTTTCACATGACAGGAGAGCCGTGGGGGAGAGGTCTGTCTTCCTCTTCTCTTAAGATGATTTGATTTGATTAGAATCTCACCTTTTTGACCTCATGTAACCTTAATCACTTCCTAAAAGTCCCATCTCCAAACACAGTCACACTGAGGTTAGAGTTGACACACCAACAGGGGAAAGGCCATGCGGAGAGAAAGTACTGGTGTAACAGTAGCCCGCCTTGTGGTTGGATATATCCCTTGCTGCTCTAAAACCGACGTGTTTTTCCTTCTTCCTGACCCTCTACCCTGGTCTTCTACTCCCTGATTTCTCCTCCCTTATCTCTGGAATCACCTCTTTGAAGCCCTGTTTTCTGTGATGGGCAGAATCACAGCCTCTGGGACAGGAGCCTCCTGTTTTCTCCTATGCTGCAAAGTAACAAAACTTTTTTTTTTTTAAGAGAGAGAGAGAGAATTTTATTTTATTTTTTTATGTGGTGCTGAGGATCGAACCCGACGCCCTGCACATGCCAGGCGAGCGCACTACCACTTGAGCCACATCCCCAGCCCACAAAACTTTTTCTTTTGCTCAAAACCATGTCCTTGTTATTGGATTGACATTGGGGACCAAGGACAGAACTTTCAGCAACACTAGGTTAATTCAGGGCCAAGGACAGAACTTTCAGCAGAGACACCAGGTTAATTCAGGGCCAAGGGGCGCAGAGGCGGCTCTCTTGCTCCTGCTTTTCCATGCCTGGGTCTCAGGGTCCAGACTTCTGGGCTTGCATTTCTAAGAACGGCTTTCCCAGTCCAAATTCCAGCTCCCATCACCACTGTTGAGCAGGTCACTAAGGCCTTGGGTTTCTCAAGTGTAAAATGGCAACATTCACTACCCTCCCTGATGATGATCCAAGAGATGGTGAAGACAGCAGGCACTAAGCCCCATGTCCCCCTGAGTGCCAGCACCTGGCCTCAGCATTCACAGTGAGAAGGCTCCAGCTGTTGCGCAGACCAGGTGCTAAGGCCTGGCTGGGCAGGGGAGTCCTTTCCAACTCCTCCCAGGCCCTGGTTCGACCATGGAGGAGAAATTCCCAGCTGGTATTTGCTCATCTTTGGTGCCTCCTTGATTTTTTCCTCTCCCTTTTTTGTACAGATTCAAAGCCCTTTACAGAACATGGTCTTGAACAATCATTGAATAACAGTTTGTTTCATTGTTTTTAATTTTATAATTATACTTTCTGCATTGCAAATGAGGCTGGGTTTTTGTTTTGTTTTGGGTTTTTATTTTATTTGTTTGTTTTTGGTATCAGGGATTGAACCAGCACTTAACCCACTAAGCCTCATCCCCAGCCCTTTTTATTGTTTATTTTAAGATAGAGTCTTGCTAAGTTGCTTAGGGCCTCACTAAATTGCTAAGGTTGGCCCGGGACTTGTGATCCTCCTGTCTCAGCCTCCTGAGTCGCTGGGATTACAGACATGCGCCACGGGACCCTGCAAGCCTGGCTGACCTTTTAAAGTAATGACACAAAGTGGTCTTTTCAAATAAGTTTATTTTAGAAAGCAAATGTGTTGATTTAAAGACATAATAGTTAAGTGAATAATATCAGGATAATATCTAAAAATGGAAAAAAAATATAGCAAGCAAAAGGAACGCTGGAGTGACTGAATCTATAGATAAAGTGCCAGACCCAGCTCCTGCCCCCAAGTGTGGCGGGAAGCGCAGCCCCTCCTGTACCCCTCTCACAGGAGCTGTCCCCACCTGTGTCCCTGGAGCAAGAGTCCCTCCTATAAGGCCCTGGGTGCCTGTCTATGGGGCAGCCTTGCTCTGCACTTGGGTCGGCCGACAGCTGCGGGACCTGTTGCTGACGGAAAGTGATGGCAGTGAAATGAGGCTGCTCTGGCCCTGTCCTCAGGGCTGGCTGGTGTCTTGTCCCCCTCAGGGATCTGTCTCTTCCCAAGTAGGAGGCTACAGAGGAGGCCTCAGCTTCCTACCCTGCCTCAGGATCCGGGCTTGGACCACCCTGTGGTGACTGGCAGCGCCCCCTCCCCAACCCCACCCCTGCCATCTTCTAACCAGCTCTGGCAAAGCACACAGCTGGAACTGTGGACAAGGCTTTAAAGACAAGGCTGGGTGGCAGGGTCCCCTGTCCCACTATTTCACAAGTTTAACTGACCCAAGAGTCCCCACAGAGGCCAAAGCCCCGAGTCCTCCAGAATCCTATAATCTAGTCTTCTACAGGCACTATAAAGAGTCCCCCAAGCCCCTCACTAGGCAAAGGAGAAAACTGAGGACCAGAGAGAGAAAGGGACTTCCTAGGGTCACTCAGCAAGTTGGCAGTGAAAGTTACCTAAGAATTCAGGCGTTCTGATTCTTCAGCTAGGATCACCTATTTGTAGGAAAGAGTTTTGCTGTAGTACACACATAGGAGAAATGTGAGTTGAAGCTCAGTCCCACTGTTAAAATGAAGTCAGAAAGGAGAAGGGAGTGAACATGAACACAGCCCCAGACACTATTTTGGTGTTTAATGAAGATCTCTCCTTAGTCATTTCCTCTTGTCTCTGTGAGACCTTCCATTTCCTGTAAAATGTGAAATGAAAGCTGAGCGCTGGGCCCACCCCTAGATCTGCAGGATGCATGGGAACAGCATGAACCTTGGAACCGGGTAGGCGGGGCCAGCCAAGTATCAGGGCGTGTCCCCAGCCCAGGATCCTCCCCTACCACTTGACAGGGATGGTCCTCGCCTTCACAATTGCTCACCAGATGGTCACACAGCATTTAGAGAAAGTAGGGACTCAGCAACAGCGACCTGCAAGCACCAGACTCAAAGCCCTTTGCAGAAAATGGTCTTGAGCAATCATTGAATAACAGTTTGTTTCATTGTAGCTGCATCTGTTACAGCCCCCAAACCAGAGGTCACCTAATGTCCACCAGTAGGGAGATGACAATAACCAATTGTGACCTGTGGATATGATAGAATGCTACTCCATCTCAAAAAGGAATCCAGATACAAACAACAACTGGATGAGTTTCAAAAACACTCTGTTACCTCTGTTTCTGGCCAAATAGCTCTACCCAGATCCTACTCCGAATAGGTAACAGACTACAGATGGCAGAGAGCTCAGCACGAGACTGTGATTGAACGTAGCAAAGAGTAAAAATCAGGCAAGTTCTCAAGTATAGTAGCTGGATGCGGCGGCACATGCCTGTAATCCTAGTGGCTCGG